TTTTTTTACCCAATTACACAGTTTCAGTACTTTTAATTCTTCATACAACCAGCTACTCTAAGAGTAACGTTGATACACAGGGGAAAAAGGGCGATTGCTCAATGTTTCAATAAAAAAAAGTCAGTTGAAATACCAATTATAATCGCATAACTCGTAATAATGAGAAGATTGACATTCCATTATTCAGATCAGCTACCGGCCAAAGGTCCTTTGCCTATAGAGCAGTATCTCTGTGGAACATGTTAGACGAAGACCTGAGAAACGTTACATCTGTAAAGGCCTTTAAGAAAGTCCTGAAACTTGCCATGAACGAATGATCGAGTGACAGTTAGAATTTAGAATTTAACAATAGCTTGTCAGATATAGTTCGCATTCATATTTGTAAATAGGTACTGAAAAACCTTTTTTTGGGAGTATTTATCATTAAAGTTTAAATTTTAAAGTTTAAAAGCATGATCCATGAAAGATGACACTCGACGGCCTTATGGGAAATGTTCGCACAGATAATCAAAAATTTACTTTTCTCATTATTCATGGGAAATCTCTTTTTTTGATGATAATTTTGTTTCAGAGTCGAAAGCTTCCATAGTTTCCATCATGGTGGTTATCATGTACATCTGACCCATAAAGCCCATAGGTCTCGTAGTTCATTGTAAACGCTTTTTGGTGTCAAGCAGTGTATCACCTTAGTGTCGGTGAAACCCACCTCACTGAAGAATTGTTTGAAACAGGGAATAATTTTACTAGTATGGGATAAAGACAAAGAACTGAGATGCCCTAATCAAAGAGTCTTTTTATTTCTTATTCAACTATTTTAACTTTTCAAACTTTCGTTCAGCTAAACATTTTACACAGCTCGGTCTTGCGTGAATTGGCCAACAGTGCATCGATCACTGATTTTTTTAGTTCCGACCTGCTCGACGATGTTTGAATATTGCTTATATGATGGACGAGTTGCAGCTCAGTTCACTGGCTGTCGTCTGTTAGTGTATGTAAACCACTCGGAAAAATCTCCACAAATGCGATGGTTTGCTGATACCAGTACTGACTCATGAGTGGAGAGTTTGCTAATAGTTGATTAAACTCTCCACAAATGCGACAGTGGTCTTCCTGCAATACATCTAGAAATTTTTGGCACATTTCCTGTGAACTTTAGCAGCACACGATTTTAAAAAGTCGTCTTGATCTAAGAACCGAGAAAAGCTAGTGATTCAAAGACGTGTACATATTCCTCGTTTATTCCATCTACTTTGAAACAAGAGCATATATGACTTTCTTACTTAGTTTTTTACTGCATTTTCTAGTTCTAATTCGTTTAGAGACCTTGTATCCTATGCTAAGATGTAGAAACATGATTCTCTTTAATGTCGGATGATAAATATAAACATGCCATGTCAACCCTAGGCAAAAAAGTACAAAAACAAAAACAGCAAAAACAATGAGCTAGCAGCGAAATAAGGAACTGCTTTTATCCTTAAGACTTAATACTACTGATATCCTTAAGACCTTTAAGGTTAATCCTCGGACAAACTCCCGGCAGTTTTACTTCTAACATTGACTCTTGCAAAATCCATAAACGATAGCGGTTTATTGATTGTCCTTGGCAAGAAGGATTATCAGCAATGCGATCGATCGCTCCCTATGTTCAATCATAGAATAACTATAATAAATGATATATAAAATCCTATGACGCATGCAATGCATCTTCTATTGTTACATTAATGATAGAACCATCCAGAACCGTATCAAGCTTTCCCTTTATATAGTAGATGGGTCCCATGACTATAACAAAATATTCACACTGATATATAAGGGAAACTCCTTAGAAAAAAAGATTTTACACCCAGGGAAAATTTCAGTTTTGGGACGACACGACCTGTTTTAAATAAGATTGATATGCAAACATTGTACCAAAATTGTCTGGTTTCGGTAGAAAAACTGTTGTGTCTCAAATGAAGATTTCTATCTAATACTGAGAAGTGTCTCTAAAGATAAGTTTTCCTACATTCGGATCAGGACATAAACATAGTGTCCGCAGCTGAGTTTGTGCTTGTTATTTCTTTTTCCTCTCATAGGATAAATTTTCCGCGTTGCTGTTTTCCGAACTTAACACCAACATCTCGTAGATAAGCAGAATTTTTTAATGACTTCTAACTTTTTCTTAACTGATCCACCGTAATTAAAATAGGTATTTCTATTTCAGATCTGTGAATTCAGACTTAAATTTTCGCTTTTTTACGGCCTAGAGTCTATTGTATCCTCTTTATTGGTTTTGAAATTCTTTCCGTCGTAGAAACAGCTAGAATATTCAAAGAGGAATCGCTTAACTCAAAACGATACTTTTCCGCTCTTTTGTGTCCTCGTTTAAATATTGCAATTTGTGTAGTATTTGATTTAATTTAATTGCTTCGCCAACCGGCAGGGACGCTGCAACAGCTTGCGTCAATTACTGCCATCCATCCTATCCTAGGGGTGGACATCCATCACACAGTAATCTCATGTGTGGGAAATTAACGTCTCCTACCCCAACCCTGCAGGAGACGGGACCTCCATTTATTCGTCCCTATCCGAGAAGACCAGAATATCTAACCATTTCTTGATGTTATAGAAAGGCAGCAAATTCTTCTCAATTATTTTAAAACCCTGTGTGTTGGTCCGGCCGGGGTTCGAACCCTCGACCTCCCGCACAACAGTCCAGCACTCTATCCAT